AACTTCCCATACACATGAAGGAGTGGAGAAGCTAAATTTAAAAAATTAAATTTAAATGTTTAAAATTTCAGCTTCCACTCTCGTTCATGTTCATGTGCAGACTATATCGAAAAACATAATTAAAAAAAAATAAATTTAAATGTTTAAAATTTCAGCTTCCGCACTCCCTCATGCGCTTGTGCAGATTATATATCGAAACACATATTTTTAAAAATCAAATTTAAAAGTTTAATATATGTGTTTCAATAAATAGTCAAGTGAACTTCATTTACCATTTTATTCAGTTTTGCTTAGATTTTAAATCTTAAGCATTCAAACATTGCGATAATAGAAGACTTGCCACGAAAGTTTGAATGTTGTAATAACCTGGATGCAAATTCACTGTGATTACAAATTATACATGGTATATATATATATATATATATATATATATGTCTGTCTATATTTCTGAGATAAGGTATTGTAATTATTTACACCGTTTATATTGTTCGGACTGTTGCCCTCATCTTTATTGTCATGCTCCCGGCGTGTCCTGCTAGCGGTGATGGATAATATATATATATATATATATATATATATATATGAGTAACGAAAATCTTGGTAATCTCTGTGGATAATTCCATAAAGAATGAAATCCTGAGAGCTCAATGTTAAAAGTTTTGAAAGTGAAGTCTGACGATCCAGAGAAGTAATATATATATATATCGAGAGAGAGAGGGGGAGAGACAAACCTCTCACCAACGGACTAATAGGGAGGATGCGTGATCCGTTAAAGTCGATTGTCCGTAGATGAGAAGGGATTATTTTTTGAGTCATAAAACCACTATAGCAACTGCCAGTAGTTATGAGCATAATGTAAATACTATAAATATGTATATACGGCATAAATAAATATATACTTAATAGAGGTATATTAATAAAAAAAATAATAGGTTTCTCACACCTACTTTCTCACGCACGCGCTAATGTATCGTACTTTATATACTGTACACTCATCTTTGGTTACAATTGAAACAGCCGCCACAGACGCCACGTGGTGAATTTGAGAATTAATACGACTCGTTCTGATAAGCCCGCAAATTCTGAAATACATCGCTATTTGTAAATCTTTTTTTTTCCTGCAACATTTATTTTTTTATTTTGCTTGCAGATATTGTCCGTGACATCCGAAGCACGTTGATGGGAGCCGTATATATGGGACTGTACATATATATATATATATATATATATATATATATATATATATATATATATATATATATACACAGACAAACCTCTAATCTATGACCCCATCAACATTCTTTACAGGCAATATATGTATACACACACACACACACACCTATATATATATATTTATATATATATATATATATATATATATATAGATAGATAGATAGATAGATAGATAGATAGTATAATAAAGTAGGTAATGATCAGAGTTGAATTAGACCAAGAAAAAGGTGGTATTAAAAATTTCCACATACTAAAAGGAATTCATTTTCCTTATGTTTTTCAGTGTTCAACAATTGTCTTATTTGTGTAGTCTTCGTCTGATGAAGGTCGCGAGACCGGAAAACCCGTGTAGCAAAAATATGAAAATAATGTATAATATAATCATCCTCAAAAGAAAATCATCTACAACTAACTAGTTTTTTTTCCGTTCTGATTCCAGTGTCGTCTGAGTTGACCGATGAAGTGTCCTGTTGGTCTACCTTTTGATTTTTCTCCCAAATTATAGCCCATATTGTAAGCTGATGCACAACTCCGTGTTTACTTCTTCAGCAATGACTTTTTAACCGATCTATCCTTTCAGAGATTGTGCCTGTAATCTTTGATAAGATCCTACATAGTTCTTCCTTGGTTATTTGTTGTTCCCAGCTGACATTTAATGCTGTTATCATAAGTCGAGTGTACGTAGCATCTAGTTTTTTTAACAGGGGTTTTATTAATATACAACTGGTTTTCCCATATCGTAAGGATTTTTTCTACTTTTGATCTGTAGAGTTGAATATTCATTCTTGTCCTTCGATTTTGAACTTCTAGATGATAGACACCGTAGACGCTGAGCTTATATAGAAAGGCCAGCATGCCAAAACTTGTCGAATGCTTGTGAGATATCTAAAGCCACATCCTGAACTTGGCCATTCTTATCTAAAACTTGAGAGATAAATTCAGTGATATCCGGTAACACATAGGCGGTAGACCGGAAGAAACGGAAGCCATATTCTTTATCTGAAACAAGATTATGTGAAGATAGATGCTTCACGAATTCGGCGTTGATTAGAGCATCTAGTACGTTGCCAAAAATAGGTAACAGATTAATAGGGCAATAACTTGTGTGGTAAGAATGTTCTCCGGAGTTATTAAAGAAAAAATACTTGAGGACTTCCAACAAGCTGGAATGCAAGAAACAGCGTGGCATTTATTGTAAAGTTCGGAGAGAACATGAGCCAGTTCAGGAGCACATTTCTTTGGTACAATTGCAGGGATACACTTGAATCAGCAAGCCTTGTGGGATATCTAGTTTAGAAATGATAGCAGAAAACATGGATGGGGTTATGTCATATCACTCAGTAGTGACTCTGTTCTAGGGGGAAATTCAGACTGGGAGTCACAATACCTATCTGAAGTTAGGTGTGTGGGTGACTTTTGTCGGCTTAATCTCACAGAATGTACAATAACGGTATACGAATGACAACTAAACAGACAAGGAAAACCTGAAAACTATTGTAACAGGCAGATTTTTTTTTAATCTACCTATCTAGAACTTTACTAAACTTATACAGACCTATACTTTTGGGTTACACTTCCCCCTCACTAAAAAAAAAGTGGGGGGAAGTTAGGAGAAAGGGGAGGACGGGATTTTGTACTTTGTTGGAATCGGATATTCACGTGATGACTGTATGAAAAAGCAATCAACAGATTTGTTATAACTTGTTCAGCGTTCGTGTTTGATTTCAGAAATAATTTAGGAACGCTTGCGTGTCAAAACAAACATACTGCGACGCCTAGAGGGGAAAAATAAAAGACAAACTCTAACAGCGATAAATCAAAGCGAATTGCTTAGAAAATTGCGTAATTCTAATCAATTAAAGAGTCGAGAAATCGATACATTTTCTTTTATTTTGTGGGTTGACACTGGCATCGCAATTAAACCGTTTAATTTGGATACTATGCGCAAATAAGACCGCAAGTTCGGACATGGTACCTCGACAGAAATTAAAACAGTTGTCGCTATTTCACTCAAAATTTGATCCGTTTATTTGACAGTTTCCGACTGTACTTTTTTTTTTTAATATTTACACGAACTGGTAGAAGCCTTCAAGTTTCAAGACCTGGTAATCTTAAGAGGTTACTCTTCTGTATCACGTCGCCAGTCCTGTAACTTATTAGAATCGTAAGGGCATAATACATTATGCAGCCATAGTAGCATTGCTGTGTTTGGGCAAAGACAAACTTACATAGCCCATTCAGGTTCACGTACATTTTTGACAAGACAAGAGAGTTTAAGTGAGCTGTTTCAACGTCAGAAAAGGAAAGTTATTTTACATCGTATCGTGACCGGCGATGAAAAGTGGATACATTACGATAACCCTAAGCGTAGAAGATCGTGGAGTAACCCCTGCCATGCATCAACATCGGCGGTATAACCGAATATCCATAGTTCGAAGATTCTGCTCCGCATTTGGTAGGATCAGCTAGGTGTAGTTTATTATGAGCAGCTCAAACTTGTTGTTTAACCCATAGCCGGAGGAAGAGATGGATTCATACCATTTTCAAGGTGAACGAAGCATACCGTGGAGAGAGATACAAGTGAGTTGCACTCTGCTCGAAGAGAGAGGCGCAACTGATAATAATCCTATTCGGCATGTGCCAGGTAAGTATTGATTTTCTAAGCGTAGCTTAGATATGGCACAAGGCCTAAAGTGTGGATCGAACTCGATATTCAGACGTAATTGATTTAGCGAGACAAGCTTGCTAACTATTACAACATGTTGAAGTGTCATTTAGTAATGTTAGAACTAGATTTGCGAAAGGTTTCAACAATTTAGAGTTGAAATGACAAAATCAAGCGTAAGTTCTATGTTAACAGTTTCTTCCCTCACACGTCCCCCTTGTGGATCTCTCTCCTCGCTTCTTGCTTCCAAATCAAGAAATTTAAATGCAATATCACTGTTATCTTCTGTCTTCATAATTTCTTGTTATTGTGTCGTTCTCTCTGATTAATAACGTTTTCTTTCCTCGTAATCTACCGCACTCAGTAACCTATATGTATTAACCTATAGTAACGTTTTAATTAGAGTAGAAGTTATTAAAAAAAATCATAATTATGATCAAACTCATTAGAGTGAGCAACTAATAATATATATATATATATATATATATATATATATATATATGTATGTATGTATGTATGTATGTATACCACAAACAACCACTGAAATTTTCTCCCTTTGATTTAAATAAAAATTTAAATTTAACAAGGGAATGAACAATCCAAAATATAGGAGAAAACCAGAAGATGGAGGTCACATCGGCATGATCATTGAGTAATATTAAAATGCATCATTTTTCTCCACAAATTATATCAATGATTTAAAATCAATCATAATTTTCTTACAAAAAATTGTGACACGCAGCAAAGTGCGAGTAATTCACTAGTATATATATATATATATATATATATATATATATATAATTCATTCGAAAATTATAACATAAATATGTTATAAAATCACTACAAAAATAACCATTTCATTTCAAAACTTCTGGTATAATAACTGAATTCATTTTAAAGCGTTCCTGTTAAGTGAATTTTAACGAATCTCTATCCAAGTGGTGAAGAAGGTGGAACACCTGTCGTTTTGTGCATAAATATTTTCGATCTAAAGGCGTAGTTATAATCCAAAAAGAGATTTGATGAATTCAGGTTGATTTCTATATCAGAAGGCAGCATCGCAAGCCTGAATGAAGAATAAAATAACACGCAACTCTGTTCGCTAGCTTGTTTCTTGAAAGAAAGAAAGAAAGAAAGAAGGAACGCACAAAAGAAAGAAAGAAGGAACGAACGAAAGAATGAAAAAAGGAACGAACGAAAGAAAGAAAAAAGGAACGAACGAAAGAAAGAAGGAAGGAACGAACGAAAGAAGGAAGGAACGAAAGAAATAAGGAACGAACGAACGAACGAAAGAAAGAAGGAACGAAAGAAATAAGGAACGAACGAACGAACGAACGAACGAAAGGAAGGAAGGAAGGAAGAAAGAACGAATGAAAGAAGGAAGGAACGAACGAAAGAAAGAAGGAACGAACGAACGAAAGAAAGAAAGAAGGAACGAACGAAAGAAAGAAAGAAGGAACGAACGAAAGAAAGAAGGAAGGAACGAACGAAAGAAAGAAGGAACGAACGAACGAAAGAAAGAAGGAAGGAACGAACGAACGAAAGAAGGAAGGAACGAAGGAACGAACGAAAGAAGGAAGGAACGAACGAAAGAAAGAAAGAAGGAACGAACGAAAGAAAGAAGGAACGAACGAAAGAAAGAAGGAACGAACGAACGAACGAAAGAGAGAAAGAAGGAACGAACGAAAGAAAGAAGGAACGAACGAACGAAAGAAAGAAAGAAGGAACGAACGAAAGAAAGAACGAAAGAAGGAAGGAACGAAAGAAATAAGGAACGAACGAACGAACGAAAGAAAGAAGGAACGAACGAACGGAAGAAAGAAGGAACGAACGAACGAAAGAAGGAATGAACGAAAAAAAGAAAGATCGAACAAACGAAAGAAAGAAAAAACGAACGAACGAAAGAAAGAAAGAACGAAAGGAAGGAAGAAAGAAAGAACGAAAGAAAGAAAGAACGAAAGAAAGAAAGAACGAAAGAACGAAAGAAAGAAAGAACGAAAGAAAGAACGGAAGGAAGGGACGAAGAACGAATAAAAGAAAGAACGAACGAAACAAAGAACCACAAACAAAGGGATCTTCGGCTTGGGTGGTTCAAGAGTCTGCTACAATCATTCATAGTTAAAATCCATCGCACCATTTCCTACCAGGACAAAAAAAAAAAACAAGAATAAAAATAAATATAAAAAAATTAAACAAAGATACAAAAAAAAATCCCATGATAATGGCATGTGCCAATAATGGTCAGATAACCAGAAAAAAAAAAATCAAAGAAACTCATCAGCCATATTCTTTTTTATGTAAAGCCTTTGTCTTCCCTTTCTCATAAATTACTACGTGTTAAAACAAAATTTAAAGAAGCGTGTGTTTCTTTTTATATCAGATCACTCGTCGAGTGCTACTGGAACCATCTGACCCCCAATGGTATCTGCCACACGGTCGGATCATCGGCGGTTAAACCGGTTCCCCAACAACGATTTCAAAAGGCGAGGAGAGAGGCTAATCCAAAACCTGACGGAGGGTAGAAGAACCATCTTGTGGGGAGAACGGCCGACTGGGGGTCCACAGTTACATAAATAGCCAGTACGGTGACGACACTTCATCGCTTTCTGGACTGAAATCAACGGCCAGGATGGCGGATTCCGCCGATGGAATCAACGGCGATGTGTCCGTAACCAACCAGGAGAGGGATGGGCGCCGCCAGGTCTTATTGTCCATGACACGGGATGCATGAATAGGAAAAAAAAACTTTCCGGCTTTCAATCAAGATATGTGGAGGGAACAGGTCAGGTGCTCAGCTGCCCAGGGATCATATGACCACACCCAGTCATGGGATTGATGATGATTATGATTATGATAAAGATATAGTTCAGAAAGAAGTGCACGATTTTTGAAGAGAAGTTAAAATTGCATTAAACTAGCATGGCTGATGCTAACCTCCAGAAAAGTGGCTCGTTGCGCCATCTCGAGATAACGTTCTCAACTGACATAAAATGGAAAGATTACATTGAATCCATTGCTAGATCAGCTGCTAAGATAGTCGGTACACTTTATCGTGTGGGACAATTTTTCTCTCCAGAACCTATCTTACATATCTATAAGTCTATCATTTGTCCATGCTTAGAATATTGCTGCCACATATGGTCCGGTGTTCCTGCTTTATATTTAGAAATTCTTGATAAAATCCAAAGATGAATTAGCAATATTACTGGCTCTGATCCGAAGCCTTGGCTTCAGTCACTTTCACATTGCATTAAAATTGTCTGTGACTTTTCTATAAATACCTTCATTGAGCTCTTTCCTGTGGTACCTAAAGTTTTTGAATTTAAGTGCAGACTGCCGACTGGAATTTCATCAATTTACAGTTAAGCTAGCTAGATGCTGCCGTAAGTCCCATGTCAACAGTTACTTTTCATGCATTTCTCACTTGTGGAACTCCCTTCCGTCTTCATACATTCCAGCCAACTTTAATCTCCAAAAAATTAAATGCAATGTCAATCGCTATCTACTGTCCTCCTAATTAATCTTTCCTCTTTTCGCTCATTATTAATGTTTCTGTTCCTAATTCTTCCACACTCTGTAAGGCCTTGTATTTTAGTGGCTTTATTGCCTTGCATGGGGTAATGCCGATTTAAAAAATCAATTAACTCTCTTAGATGGAAATCGTTAATTGTTGAAATTATTAATGTTTTTTTTAAGCAAGATGCAAGTCTTTTTATATTCTATGCTTATATCTATCTATCTATCTATCTATCTATCTATCTATCTATCTATCTATCTCTCTCTCTCTATATATATATATATATTATTGATTTAGTCATAGGCAAATAAACGGAGTCAAATCTCGTCATTGGCCTGTATCAATCCAAAAGAGTAATGATCAGTAAATATCTGGGCGGACATTACTACAGCGTAGAGTGTTTGGTCTTCAGTGAGTGTCCTATGCATGTGGCTCTACAAAAGGATGTTAAGGATATCGTGGACCGAGCGTGAGCAACGATGGGGTCATAGAGAAGATGCAAAGAAGGAGGAGGCTTATACTTAACATCAGGAAGAGGCAGCTGAAGTTTCTGGGACACATAATGAGAAAGAATGGTTTGGAGAATCTGATACTCACGGGTCGAATCGAGGGAAAAGAGACAAAAGGAAACAATGAATGTCATATCTAGCGGGCTTAAGCAATTGGATGACAGCACGTGGTCGGGGGGGGAGCAGATGGCAGGAACTTGTTGAGAGATGAAAGGGATAGAGGGAGGTGGAGAGCCATGATCGCCTACGTCCTAAAAGGACATGGCACATAAAAAAGAAAACATCACGAAATCTTTATTATCTAAAAAAAAAAAAAAGAAAAACTTAGAATCTAAAAATATTTTCTGGCTTTAAATATCCTGAAAAGAGTTGATAAACCGTAGAAAAGGAATCAATCAATATTATTGTTTGATTTTATCTAATGAAGATCATTAATATCTACAAATATCACAGCTCTTTCTAGGGAATAAAAGCAAATAGGTCCCCAAGTTTACGAAATATTTCAACCATATCAATAGCTATGTATTCATTACCGCTCCATGTGCTTATTTAATAGACTGTAAAATGACCTGAGCTTTGTGATAAGAAGTTGCAATAAGAAAGGCGTAAGACAAAACAAAAATACATTTTTTGCTGACAATGAATTATTTTATTTCTGGTTGAATAAAATTGGGACTCTGGATGAAAAAAAAATCCTATACCACTATCTAAACTAAATCTCTACCTCTGTAATGTTTTGGTATGTATAGTCAGTGAACCATAATAGGTTTTATCTGTTCACGGCTTAGAATAAACACAACAGTTAAAGTAGTTCTTTGTTGCTTAGCGAGAGGAAAGAATTAAATTTGACGCAAAGGTGCTTGCTAAGGTATGTCACAAAGAACTACTTGAACTACTAGGTAAGTTCGATTTATTTGAGAAAGATTTTAGAATAATACAGAATTTATACTGAGAGCAAACCGCTGTGCATACGGATAGGATATGAATTTAGTAAATACACTAAAATAGAAAAGAGCATAAGACAAGGATGTGTCTTCTCAGCGGACTTAGAAGTCCTACCAGGGTCGTCCTGAGTATGACGATAAACTACGTCCGCGTCCTGGGTAAGACGATAAACTACATCCGCGTCCTGGGTAAGGCGATAAACTACATCCGCGTCCTGGGTAAGGCGATAAACTACATCCGCGTCCTGGGTAAGGCGATAAACTACATCCAACAGCAAGGCCTCTGATCAGGAGGTTTTGAGAAGCGTGGAACCATCTCTTAATTGCTGGTGTTCCCAGATCCATCCTGACCCTGGGTGGCAGCACTTGTTAGGGTCCCAGCTATGGGCAAATAGTTACCCCCCCCCAAACACTATGAAAGTGTAAAAAATAGGTTTTAATATCAGAAATACTTTGTAAAAAAATTATTACCAACAACACATTTTTGGAAAAAAAAAGATAATACCAGTATTACATTTTTGGAGAAAAAAATATTATCAGAAATATATTTAAAAAAAAAAAATAAATATTACCAGCAATAAAAATTTTGCCGGCATTAAATAACCCATTACGGTTGATATGCCGTAAGCCAAACCGAACGAAGCCAAGCCTACTATGGTTCTGTTATACTAGATCATACCTATTCTATTGTAAATAGACTCTCCCACAGATAATAAGTAGTAGTAGTAGCAGTCGCCAGGGGGCTCAGAGTGAGTTGGTGAGTCAGTCGATGTTGGACCTTAAAGTATCAACCACCACAACTAGATTGCTGCGTCATTAACTATTATTTCAAGTTCCTAACGTTTTGTACCTCGGACCCTTTTAGGACCGACTTAGTGAATTACAAACCTCCACTGTAAAAACTACTCTACAACAGGTTCATTATTGGCGACCACAGTCTTAACATAAGATATGAAAATGACATTGTTGATAGCAGAAAAAGAAAGGAAGCCACAAGAACTTTTACAGAAGGTATTGAAGGAAAACGGAAAGAAAGAACATTTAATAATCTGTAGAGCCCAACATACAAACCATGGAGAGGCCAAAATCAAGCAAGTACAAAATTTTAAATATCGCGGAAGCGTATTAACGGGGGACAAAAATGCGACACCGAAATCCGATGGCGCATTGGCATAGCGAAAGTTGCCCTCAAAAAGCTAAGGAAATATTAAGAAACGGGAAAATTTAGTGAAACATTTCGTGAGAAATAAAATGATTACTGAACTGTTATGCAATATCGGTACTCCTATATAAAGGCGAATGCTGAACAATATCCTCACAGATGAAGAAGAGATTTGAAGCAACAGAAATATGGTCTTACAAAAGGATGCTGAGAATACCATGAACTAAACATGTGCGTAACGAGGAAGCTCTGAAGAAAATGGGAAAAAAAATCTTATACTTAGAATTAGAAAGAGTTAAAATCTCTAGGCTACATAATGAGGAAAGAGGATTTGAAAAATTTACACTCATAGGACATATGAAAAATAAGAGTGGTATACGAAAACAGCGAATGAACTACCTAAAAAGCTGTTGTAAATGTATCGTAGAACAGGGTGTTGGAGGGATAATGAAAAAAAAAACTTATCAAGGGATACAAATTATAGAAAGTTGTGGAGAACAATGAATGGAGTACTCTTTTTTTTTTGTTTTTGTTTCTAAAATTTTCCTGTTTCTTAGCTTTCGGGGTCATATTTTCGTATCCAAACGCGCCTTCGCCATTCGGTATCATATCTCCTGTCCTCTGTTAAATACTTTCCAGACTATTACTAAATAAATAAAAAGTTTTTTCAAAAAGTATTTCCCTGTATGAGAAATATTTAAATTAAGAAAACATAGTTAAACTATGTTTATCCCTTCTGCCTGTGAAGTGTTAAAATAAATAAAAAAATAAAAATTCTTAAGGAATTTCGAAAACGCAATTCATTCTTCCCACCATCTCACAACGTTTTTAAAATATTTTGGTCGTATTATTTTCTTAGAAAAGATGGTTCACCGTGTCGTGACAGACATTCTTTCTCGTCAGAATCCATTTTGCGCATTTATAACTCTACAATTCGTCCCTGCAATGAATATTGCTGACATCGTCTGACGTTCTTAATATATA